TCTAAAACAAAAAAGAATTTTGATTATTTTTAATAGTGGAGTCCTACAACCCTAATAAAACTTTCTATATCCTTCTTCGTATGTAGTAGTTTTCTTTTTTTTAAAATGTACTTTAAACTATATAACAGGTATATAAGATCTGCGTCAAAATTTTCACCACGGATCATCAATTAAATTTTTATTTAACTTCTCAAAAATTTAACATGTGATTGGATTTTTATGATTCGTCGTCTGTTGTACTTTATTTTGTTTGATTCGTTTTTTTTTCTTTTAGTCGTTAGTTCGTCATCTGTTTGTCATCACTGGTTGTCGTTAATTTGCGTCATTTTTTATAATCATTGCGTTAATTTAGTCTGAGTATAAATTAAGTTTGTTGATCGTAAATAAGCAAGTACTGTGCTTACAGTTGAGTTCCAATCCATTAAGCATTTTATCCGGATAACTATTAGATATCCGGATTCGTATTTATTCGGATATCGATATCTGAATAATTATCCATATACTTGTCGCGATCTGAATTATCCGAATGATTAGATACGGATAAACGAATGACAGATTTATCTGGACTAGAACTCTACTTATAGTATACCCAGGTGTGCGAAACTTTGGGGTACTATACTATCGCTATGTAAATCAAATTTATATAGCAATTTTGTGTAATGATCATAAATCGTTAATAAAATATGGGCGAATCCATTTGTCGCTGGCAGTTACAAGAATCTCGAAATTTTCAAAACCAAATTACTCAAAATTATGCCTTATTTTTTCAAAAAAAAATTTTTTTTAAGTACCAATTGTGACAATTATTCTATTTTTTTGCTATATATTTATTTTTTATATAAATTTATCCGGCGTCACTTGATGAAGACCTGGAATTACTCACTAGGGCCGAAAGGAACAAACAAAAAAAAAAATGTATTCCATGTTATGTAAACGTAAAATGGTAAATTAACTTTGCACAGCCTTAGACGTGAACATGAGTACATAATATTTTACAGAAGATTATTACACAGGTCCGATAGGTCTCCTACATCAATATGATATGCATATGAAAATTTACTGAAAGAATAAAGCCTAAATGTCTCCGATTGATTTCTGATTTCAAACAGATATTTTGGCGGAAATAGGAGACTTGGTTTCATATCATATTCATATCGAAGCACCAGTTGTACAAATAAACAAACCCGATAGGTAGGGATGTTGTTACATAAATTACAATTTACAATACATGTAATTTTACGTAAGTTTCAGAAAATTAGATTTCATGTAATTTTCATTACGTTATACATAAAGTACCAGATTTACAAAAGTTCGGCCAGTATTATTGTATCATTTGATTTTAATGTACGATCCAAATTGTAACTCCTGAATCACCGAAAGTTTGAGCTCAGAAACTAAATGTCATGTGTTCAAAATTACAATTACATGAAATTTCAATTTACCGAATCTTACGCAAAATTACACAAAGTTACGTAAAATTACTGTAATTTTACATCCCTACCGATAGGTATCCTATTTTGCAAAAAATCGGACACTTACCAGAATAATTGCTATGACTATCGGTATACCCGACTTGTTATTTATATTTTTACCGTAAATCAGTTAATCAAAAATTTTATTATTTATTGCGACAGTAATATTAGATTATACAACAGTTTTTTTAATATACACTATCCTAAATTTCTATATATTCAGTACAGAAGCACTACTATTATGTAGAATATCGAATCAACTTTAGTTGAAATAAGCATTCTCTTAATAACAAGTGTTTTGCAGATTATATCTACTATGTGTCTACATTTAAAAATAATCTAATTAATTGACAGTTGCTAAGAAAAATAAGACGTAAATAATTTGTAATATCTTTTTACCTTGTTGGCTGTATCAGAACGATCAATGGAAATGACCATTACCTTTGCAATAGTGCTTCTTTTATAGATTAACTTCTACTTCTAATCGATGTTTTGCTTTAGAATTAGGAGTCCCCTTCAGGTTGTAAATATACACTCTTTCTTGTTCATTCTCTTCATCAAAGTTAAATAACTTATTCGCTGTAAAATGAAGGCTACCAACTTTTAACACTCCGTCTACTTCAAGAAAATGTGGCGGAAGGGCTAACCCGTTAAGTATTTATAACGTGGGCTCCGAATGCTTATAATTTGACTCTGTTCTAATTTCGTTGAGCCATATGTTCTTCTCCTTAGACGGTCAATAATTGCGATTTGTTTCTGCTTAACCACAAATTCGTTATCAATTCTTTGGGCGATTTGTAAAATTCTTGATTTATATTGCTGCCAATCCTGTACTAAAAAATTTTGGACTTCAGTATTAAGGTTTTTGTATTCATATTCTTCTTGCACTTTGAATAAAGTTTCTTCATTAATTTCAGCGTGGAATCTTGAAAAAAGGTCACTAAGGTAGGTTTGACGTAAATTAGACATCCATTCTTCATAATCTTGGACTTCAGTATTAAGATTTTTGTATTCATAATCTTGCACTTTGAATAAAGTTTTTTCATTAATTTCAGCGTGGAATCTTGAAAAAAGTTCACTAAGGTAGGTTTGACATAAATTAGAGGGCTTCTTTATATTTTTTTGCGACATCTTTGCTTAAGCTATTTATAAAAAACGCAATAACACTCTTAACATGACCGATCCAATAATGTGCGTGTAAAATAGGAAATTAATTTACCTAAAATTCTTGAGATCATACAGTCCCGACAAGTGCGAACACCAGATTGTCAACGTTTCTCTAGTTTTACAAAATTGACAACCATTTTCAAATGTTAATAGCCTCGCAAAACCTTGTTGACTCATTCCAGACGGTGGTTCCATATCTTTGATAAAATGTAAAAGTAATCTCTAAATATCTTTACTAAAAGATTGATACTTTCGTTTAAAATATTTTTGAAATTGCATACCATCGAAAAAAGATCTGACGGCCGCAAATATACGTGTTAAAAAATTGAAAAATTTTATCGTTTTATATCTATATACCGTAAAGTGCCATACCGAAGACCCGGCGTGACAAATATTGGAGATTAATTTTTAAAATATTATTTATACATCATGTGATACATAACATATGTGATTTAAAAATTTTTCTATTGTAAAAAATT